CACTTAGTATGATTAGGTCTACTGTCACAAAAGCATAGTAAAAGTCATACTAGTAAAGGCAAAGATCCAGCTCCTCTGGTACTTTTTTTTGTATGACAACGGCCAAAAGCAGATGCCTGTAGGTGTAGCAAGGCAAACCAGAGCAGCAAGTGGCTCCTGATGATTCTCCATTGCCTACAGAGCTGGATCAGAATTCATGACAGATACATTCAAGACCACATGCAAAACTAAAGGGGAAAAGCAACACTTCCTCACTCATCAGCACTACATGCACCACACCTCAACAGCGTAAAGGAAAGATTTTGATCAGCTGTGGTCAAAAGCTATTTAGGAGTGAACTCTTCAATGTGATAGTGATATTTTTTCTTTTCACCTCCACTTGTGCCTATGAACAGGTTTTTGAGGAAATTAACCCATGCAGAAAGTGTAAAGGGGAATGAAGAAACAATTTACATGACAGAAATGCTCAGCCAACATCTCAGTAGTTTCATGAACTATGATGTACATGACAGAAACGTACATAGCTAAATATATCATAGCTATAGAAGAAAAACATTAAAATAATTTTAGCATTTCAAATAATATTTTAATGACCTATAATGTAAATAAAATGACAATTATTTTTTTCAAGACTTGCTGAAAAATATTTTTTATTCATCAGTGTAACGCTGACACATTTGAAGGAAAAGTAATATTACACAACGGAACAGGAACGGGCAAAAACATCTATGAAAATCCAGTGGGATTTTCATACTGGAGAAATGTCAGCTTTGTTAATTCAGTAGTCAAAATTTAGTGAATAAGGAAATAAATGAATAGCATATTGCTCCTTCTTCTCTAGAACAGATGTATTTTAACTAGAATGGCTGCACTTCACCTCACCAAAATTATATTGTAATCATGCAGGTATAAAAATACCTTCCGAACAGCAGGGGTTTTAGGCTATTGTCATGGTTTAGGCTGAACTGGCCACTGGGGACGTGGAGGACCCCAGATGGGACTGACAGATGCTCCCCTCTACCCGTCTTCTAAAAGAGAGGCAGAGGAGGGAAAAAGAGACTTATGAGTTTAGAAGGAACTAAACTAGTCTAATGAAATATTAATAATAAAATAAAAAGGAAATAATGAAAAATATACAGAACTGGATCAAGCTCCCAGAATGACAATCATGTCACTGGTTGGCACTGGGGAAGTCCCAGACTGGACTCAGTGATGGATGGGATCTGGATTCAGGATCTGGATTCAGGATCGGGATCAAAGGCAGACGAACAGCCAGAGTCCTCCTCGGACACCGGCCATTGAAGAAAGAGGGCTGACCCTTTGATCCCTCAGTTTTTATACTGCGCATGAGGCAGATGGGATGGAATCCCCTGTTGGTCAGTTTTGGGTCACCTGTCCTGTCTGCTCCTCCCCGCAGGTGGGACTCCTCTATGCTTTTCTGCTTCCGACACTCCAACGGGGCAAATAACAAAGTTGGCTGCCCTTGGCTGTTACAGCAATAAGCATAAGCAAGAGCCTCTCTGCATCCCATACCTGGGCATCAGCTATAGACATGGGTCTTATCACTCTGAGAGGGTGAACAATGTCTCCAAAATATGCTGCTAATTTCAGTCGTTAGGAGAGGCCCAGCTAGGAAGCAAAGTTAGAACAAAACTGGTCCTGTTTTACCTCAGACCAGGACAGTTACTTATTTGGCTCACATCCTGTTGGACTTCAGTTCATGGTGCCTTGCTTGCCCACACTGGACACACGGTAGTGTGCCGCTCAGCTCCCTTCCAGAAGCAGTCAAATGATTTTCTTGAAGGGCAAACTCAACAGTTGTGTTTGCCACAGAATTTGGGTCAGGGACACAGCAGGGCCGTGGCCAGCACCCAGTTTGTCTCCAGCACTAGCACGTTGGGTTCTCCTGCATCCCCAAGCCCCAGAGCACACAATCATACTTTCCCTCCAGTGCCATGAGTGATAAAAATATCACTGTAGCTAGCTTCAACACAGACATCTCATTATTTTGGGGCACTTTGAACTGCAGGATGATAAAAATTAATAATTGTGACTTGGTGCCGCAGGGGCACCACAAGAGGCTCAGAAAAAACAGTCACATTAAGGGCTGTGCAGTGAGTATGCAGCAGTCCCATCCAGAGGATGGTACCTTTAAGAAGTGTAGACGCGAGCTGCGCTGTAACAGTTCACCTGGGGACAGGTTTCTCTACTTTTCAGGGTAATCCGCAAAGCCCACATGAACTGCAGTTTCTTCTGAGAACACTAGTTAGGTTTTTGTTTGAGTGACGGACAATTAATTTTACAATGTACTCTGCCGTTTGACAGGAAAAAGCCACACAGCTTTACTTTGGATCTGAAATACTGCAATTGCAAGGCTCTAACGCGACCCGTTGGTCATAACATGTACAAGCACAACATGTCTTTCTACCTGCACGTATGCCTACATGAAACTAAACCAGCAGAATGTGGAGCATTTGTAAATACATTGTGCTTTAGGTTCAGTCTACATCTGGAAACAAGTCTGCATTGTAAATAAACTCTGACAGCTTTGACCGAGTGTGTGATGGATTGCTATCATCCCAGGCTTGAGTTTTGTAGCAAGTATGGATCAGGTCTGTCTGAGGCCATACTTTCAGGCTTGTAGAATGTAAGATTGGTAAGTCAGCCTTAAAGGCAGTCTTACTAGGCAGCGCAGACAGTGTAATATCGATTTCAGGTTTCTTACAGAGCCAGTTCTACACACGATAAACCATCTCACTCAGTACCTTGTTTTCATTGAAATTAGCGATGACAACTCCAACGAAAAGGGTCAGTCCAATCATGCAGCCAAGGAATACAAAAACATGAATGTAGATTCCATGGATCTGAATAGACAAAAAATCTGATTAAACATTAAAACAAATCAGAATAAGTGTTGCAGAATTCAAAGACCCTTATGTGTTTCCTTACCGGCCCAACACGATGAATAATAACATCTCTGACTTCCACCCAGCCTTTTAATGAAAGAACTTCGAATAGTGCCAGCATTGCGTTCCCCACATTGTCAAAATTAAAATTCCGAGGATTTGCCCTGAAATGCAGTACACAAATAGCTGTAACTTCAGCAATAAAGTTGCTCTTTCTATCTGTTACCTTGATTCTTCACAGTCTAACCAACATTCAAATACCTTGGCATGTTGGTGTGAAAGCCTCTGAAATATATCAAAGCTCTGTCTCAAGAATAACAAAAAATAGCAACAGCAATAAATATGTACAGCATAATTTTTTTTGATCCCTATACATGTTTTACGTTGCACTCAGAATCTGATTCACAGTAATAAAGCTTATAACATGTTGCTGCATTTTAGTGTTTTAGTCATTGAAATTAGCAAGATACAGCACACATGGAAAAATGGATCTGACAGTACTGGCCAAATTCTAACATAAATTTACATGAAGGAGACCAGTTCAAACCCACGTAAATGATTCGGACTACAAAGTCAAGGAGATTGTTTAGAAAATGTTGCTCCTTATCATTGGGAACTGATGGTCTAAAGCAAAAGTTACTGAGAGGACACCATATCTTCTTGGCTTTCCTATGCCATATGCTCTGACCTTTTGTATCAGTTGGAATTCAAGAGGATGTTTCCAGCTGAACATTAAAAGTACCCTCTTTGGGCTAGGTTTGCACATTGCTCTGCCTCTACAGTCCAAGACAGATAATTGAAGGAGCCAAATCAATGTTCAAGAATTTATAAGGCAAGCAGTTGTATTCCAGAAGAATTGTTAAGTGGTGCTTCTGAAGATCCAATCTGATACAATCAGATGTAGATGTTTCTTTTAAATGTGGTCCTTATATTGACATCTGGCTCTTGAAAATCTGGCCTGACACAGCCAACAGGTGGTAGAAATGTCCTTGCAGTAAAACATTTTTCTGCAATAACAAAACATTCCCCAAAGTTTACAGTTATGCTGATTAGGACGGTTTTTGCTTATTTCTGGATCAAGCTGAAGAGGATTGAATTTGCTTACTCGGGGAAGAATTTATCTGAAGCATACAGAAACAAAGACTTCTGCAGATGTCAGAGTTTCACTGACTGTTCAAATCACAGCATATTATTTCATTAGTGTAGGATGGCTCTGAATCTTACCACTGCTGGTACATCCTTTACCCACGCATATAGTCAATTAAAATAATTGTGGTTGTTTAGTTGATTTTGCAAAATGCCCACCAACTTAAAAATGTAAACAATTAAAGAGAGGGGGGTTTGCCTGTTCAGGTGTTGGGAAATATTAAATGGACTTTATCAGAATTCTAATCATAAACAGAAAGTTAGGTCTTAAGTAATTTTTTACTGCAGTACTACACCAGACAGACCACAAGGATTCTCTGCATTGGAAAGAGAAAGAAGCTGCTAGCTGGCATGGCTGATGGGCATAGAAGAGAAAGACTGGTTTTAAGCATGGGTTCCTCGTTGTTTTTTTGGGGGTAGCTGTAGGCAGGCCGATTTCCATTTATTTTTCTTCCCATCTTTTCCTATTTATTCTTAGGTTCTGCTGTTGATGTATGGCTCTCAAGATGTATTCATAATACTATGAAAGCACAATTAAGTGATAATCTTGGTTCAAGCCAATAACTCTCGTTGTAATAATAATCAACTCTAATTCCTATCTAGGTTGAGCACCTACAGGTATTTTTTTCCTTTCTGCTTTCTGAACAGAACAGCAGGTTAAGTATGGAATAGTGTCATATATCTGGCTTTTTACTAGATACACCAGTATTTTTACCCTAAATATCACTGACTCAAACCAGAGCAGACTTACAATAAAACCCTCCATCAGCAGTTCAATGCCATAAGATTTGAGACATTTTCTATATGAACAGCTGAGTTTTTGAAGAAAGATAGTCCAATGTGTAGCAACTCACCAGACTCGTGGCACCCAAAATCCAGGCTTTTTCTCTCCAGGTCTTAATTTTAAATTGAGATTTTTGGAAACACTTACATTTATTCTGAAGATGCCATGACAATCTTCCTATAGTGAAAAAAAAACATAGTCTGAGATTAAATAATGGCCTGTGAGAGATGCCAAAATGCCAGTATAGACAGCACATTTGCCATGACGCGTCGGCGACGTAAACAGAAATGAAGGGTCTGGGATGAATAGTCATGGACCTTTACCCAAAGGAAAAGCGCATCTTAGGAAGGATTCAAAAACTCCTTCTCCTTCCAGGACTGAGAGTGCTTTTCATTTTTGCAAGACTATCTAGCCTTTCACCTCTTTTCTAAACACCATTGCTCTCTTTAGGTGATGATGACATTTCTTCAAATGGAGTAAGAAACACCATTACCTTCCTTTACGTAACCTACGCAGCATTCCCAGTATTTTGGACCTCTAGCAGCCTAACCTGTTTTTTTAGCTGCTGACCTAGGACTGCAAAGCTGTCCGTGGTTAATTCCATGGTTAATTCTATGTGACATCCAGTCCTTTGCAGCTCATACGGCATGAATTTCACAGCTTTTTCAGATGGTCCCAAATATCTGGACTTGTTTTACTTTATTTACGTGAAAACCCAGCCTCACGCTCACTCCCTCAGTCCTTTATCACCCTTCCCTCCATCGTCCTGCTTCTCAACAAGAAAGCGCCCAAGATCTCCATCTCTCAGTTGATAGCTCTGATTGCCCCGCTGGCTTTCCCCAGCAGGCAAAAAAGAGCACATCATACTATTATTTTGAAGCAGGAAAGCAGTTCTTACCCTAGAGACGATGTGTGGATCATTGCATTTAGCCAGTTTTCCAGCAAACAGCTGCACTCCAAAGCTTGCAAAAACAAGCATTAATGTCAGCAGAAGAATAGAAACCTGTAAAGATGAAGTTAGACTTGTCAAGCTCTCCTCTTGCAGACTTGAAAAAGGGGGTCAAATCCTTCTATGAACTGCAGGGAGGATCATTTTGTGGCATACACCTTGACACAAGGCTTTCATGACTGACGTGTTACTTTAGGTTCTGATCCCATAACCTGGTGCTGTGTTATTATTCATATTCATATTCACATTATTATTAATATAGCATCTAAATATTGTAGATAAGGATATATTTTTTTGCACTCAGTGTATAACCTTGCTAAATTCCACATGCATAAGAGCTGCCAATAACTTTAAAGACAACTCTTCGAGTACTTAAATATGTGCTGCTTCCATTTTGCTGAATCAGGCTTTACTAATTAATCTGAGTAAGCCATTGTTAGATATTTAAATCCAGGATTGCTACAATTAAGATATGCATGAGCAAAATATGATGTAAATATCTTTAATAGGACACAGTATCTATGAAAAGGTAACGAGCTTTGTACTTTTTGTCCTTGTTCTATCACTGCCTGCAAATATTTTGTAGCTTAGCTTTTTATAACAACCTGACCTAATACAGTATTCTGTTCAGGAATAAAATGTCTGTTGTTTTGGCTG